CTATATATATATATATATATATATATATATATATATATAGAATTGGGATTACGTTTTATTTTCCTTCTTTTTTTCACGTAATCCCAATTCTATATATATATATATATATATATAATCATATCAAATTTGGTATAATATTGTCTGTTGTTTTGTTAGTCTCTCGAATGGTAGATGTTACCGTCCATTTAATACTTCTTTCCTTTGATCCTGTTGTTAACCAATTGAGATCATGGTTCGTAACAATGTCTCCTTTTACCGACCGGTTGTTACCCATCTTTAACCAATCCGAACGTAAACAGTCTCAGTCGATCCGGATCCAAACCTTAACCGGTTTTCAGAGCCTTTGGATGTGGTGGAAAACCCATCCCAACAACAAACGAACAACAATTTGATTTCCCAATCAAGTCTTTTTGCTACACTCAAGTCTACATACAGCCAAGAGGTCAAAACTTCAAAACTACTTTCTTCTTCTTTTTACTTGTATGCTCCTCTCATGAAACCAAAGATATCTATCAACTTGAGCAATCAGTACAACCCCAAGAACTTCCACCATACGCCCCCGACTACTGTCCAGATCACCGCGTTAACACAAGCCATTATGAATCCGATCTTGAATACATCTGGGAGCTCCACGTAACCCGCTGTTCACAAAACAAAAACTTAAATCACAATGCAGCATTGATGGTCCTTAACCTTGGGTGTGTTTGGTATGCAGACGGGATAGGAATGGACAGAACTGGTCAGACGAGAGTGAGGCAGGTGGGTGAAAGAGGTTTTAGGATTTCAATTTGACATGGGTAGTTTAGTAATTTACCAATCTTGTCTCGTCTCACTGATTTTTGTTCCACATAACAAAAAAATGTTTTTGTCTCACTCAGTTATGTCCTCTCTTGGTCTTAATGTCGCATCGAACTCGAGACAATAAGTTTTTTCCCAGTCCCACGTACAAAATGCACCTAGGGTCAAACCCATTACTTCACATATCCAAATTCGACATGGACCTTGTTGTCATCTGATACCAAAACTCGTATTTTCGCAATCTATTTGAACCTTAATCTATTCCTTAAGTTTCCTCCACAAAAAAATCTAAAGAATTCATAGTGACTTGCTTGTTGAAGTTTAGTTCGTTTGACCTCAAAAGTCAAACTTCAGTGAAAAAGTAACGTACCTCCAAAGTAAACGGCGGCTTGACCGCTGCTGTAATGAGTTTGAGCACCAAATAAGTTGGTGTTGTAAGCTAATGCAAGTGCTGCCAATATAGCAGGCACTCCGGCTGCCAAGTGCATGGCAAGAAAGGCGGAGTATAAGGCTCCAACGTGGCCGGTTTGACTAGCAAACATGTAGTGGATTATGAAGTAAGCCCCCTGAAGAACACCAAATGCGGCTGGCCAGCTCAACGAGAAGGATTGAAGGAATTTAGCAACACAATTAGACATCCACGATACGATTCCAAGGTTCGTCAATTGACCGGCCATGCCCACGAGTACTGCGAACCAAGATAAAGTATCCCATGCCGATTTTTCACTTAAGCAATCATCCCATTCAAGAACTCCTAGCAACAAGAGTACCGATAACCCCAACATTGCAGTAACGACACTCGCTATTCCGATAGCATCCCTGTGTAGAGAAGAAACCACATTATACAATTTTCCATCATTTTCAATTTTATGGGTCCCGTAATTTTTTTTGAATGTGATATCAACAACCCCAAGTGCCACCGATCTAGAGATGCACAAAAAAGCCTGGGCCCAGTAAGCCCGAGCCCAGGCCCCGCCTTGAAATCTGATAAGGCCAACTGTTCTTCAAGGCTCGGTTTTTCAGGAAAAAACCCGGTTATGCCCATCTGAAAAAGCCTGATCAGGCTCTCTTTCAACCCCAAATTCCGGCCCAAGCATTTTTTGCTTACTGAAAATCGGGCTTGGAAGGCTCGGGCCATGTGCATCTCTCACTAATCCATGTGGTCTGGGCCCACCGCCATACAGTCCTAGAACTGGCATGGCCACAAGGGTTTTTGCACCTAATGGGAACCGAACCTGGGAGTAAGAGGAACTACTCTTCTTATTGACCCAGGGGATCGCCACCGAGCTCAGCCCTTGTGGTTGTGGGTCCCGTATTTGCACATAATATATAACCAGGATCCGCAAAATGAAAAATGTTAAATGGCCAGAACAAAACCAAGCAGTTTATCAAATGCTACATACCCAAATACCCATAGAGAGACGGCAAGAAGCATGGTGCCGATCATCACCCATTCGTTAGTTGTAACAGGGCCCATAGCTTCAAGCCTCTTTGCAGCCATGGCAGGGGCATCCGGTGTATCTTTGGTTTCAGGAGGGTAAATTTTGTACAAGATGTATGGAGTCAGTAGAAGTGAAACGAAAGCAGGTAAACTAGCGGCCTTGAACCAAGAAACCCATGGACTTGCAATGACTAAGCCAAGTTCCTCCGCCAATTTCAAACACAAGAGGTTTTGAGCTGCGGCAGTCAGAAAAAGCGCGCTAGAATTGCCAGCACACTGTCAAGCATCCGTGTATGGATAAGTCATACAAACAAGTTCACAAAAATAACACATATTCCCTCCATTCCATCAAAACTGCAACATTTGATCTAAAATTACACGATGATATTGGTTTGGGTCGATAAGATTCCCTTATTTTCCCAAATTTTAAGGGCATTCAATAAGTTTGGTCATTAGTCAAACACTTTGAAAGTTGGGAGTCTTCATGGAAACAGTCGCCTCCACTAATTAGGGTAAAGGACAAGTCTGTGTACATCCTACCCTCTCCAGACCCCACCTCCAGGTGGGATATACTAGGCTTGTTTGGTTTGGTTAACAGTCAAACATTTATCGTCTAGTCAAACTATGCAATTTTCTTGGAACGGAGACTCGGAGAGAGTGCATAACTATGATGAATATGCATGGTAGATTTGCATATATAATACTTACACCAATTGAACTCTATGGCATTAGATCTACTTGCCATGGAACTAAAAGTTGACCTTACCCTTTGTCAAATAGCTTAATACATCAAACCTTGCCCTCTTGCTCCACAAGAAGCCATACCTAATCCCCATAAAGATCTAATTTTTAATGACAATTTGTCTTAAATTCCATTTGTTTAGATCATTTTCTTCAATTTCAGGGTCTCATCTCCATTTATCTTAGTGTCATTGAATTGGGACCCGTAAAGCCAGATCGATAAACAAAATTAATGATACAAATCAAACCGAATGAACCCAGTATATCTCACTCGAAAGTAGGCTCTGGACGTGGAATGTATGAACCCTTTAGGGTAGAGTTCTTTCCGCGAAGACGCGCTTGTGATGTGCAAAGATCAATGGTTGTGTGCAATAATTCTTTAGTCTTAGAATTCACATTGTGAAACAATATACAAGATGCAATTTTACTGAAATCTGATGGCAAATAGGATCTAGATTCAATCACATTTCTCATCAATAACAAATGTATAAATTGAGCAAAATTATTCAAATCGAATTTGAGCTAACCTGGAATTGAGACTGAATAAGATATGAGCCCAATTTTCTCGCAGATGGATCGTTAGGTTTACTTCCAGCTGACAGTGATAACGACTTAATAATGGGCAAGAAGACGCCGCCGGCCCTGGCGGTGGTACTGGGCATCGCCGGAGCAATCAAAGCTTCGCTCAAAGTCAACCCATACGACAAACCCAATGTACTTTTTCCTAACCATTTCACGAAATAGGTTGCAATTCGATCCCCTAATCCAGTCTTAACAAACCCACGAGCAAAGAAGAAGGAAATCACAATCAACCAAATGACTTCATTGGTGAAGGCGCTAAACGCCGTTGTGAATGTTAGGGTTTTGGTTACAATGGTGGTGGTGAGACCTAAAAGAGCCCACGCGCCGACGGGTAACGGAGAGAGAACAAGTCCGGCGATGGTGGAGACGAAAATCGCGAGGAGTTGCCATGCTTGTGCAGTGACTTCAACCGGTTTTGGAACAACGAAACGTACTAGTAAACCGATCGCGACTGAGAGTACTAGAGGAACGATCTTTGCGCCTTGTAATTGCGATTTAGGGGATTCAGTAATCGAATTCTCATTGGTGGATGAAGCTAAGACGGGTTTAACAGGTCTTGAGAGGGAAGTGAAGAGGGAGGGTTTAGTGGTGGTGGTCAAGAAGAGGCGGCGAGGGTTGGTGGTGGTGGTTTGTGGTGATCGGAGAAGGGGAGGGAAAGTGGGTTTTGTGGTGGAGAAGACCTGCGGCGGAGATTTAGAGAGAAGACGAGATCGGAGGCGAAGGGAAGGTGGGCAGAAGGCAGTAGAGAAAAGCGCAGAGGCCTCCATTGTCGATTGGAGCAATGAAAGAAGGTATGGAATTTGTAAAAATGGCGATTGATTGCAGCGGAAAGTACGAAGATGAGTCCGCCACAGAATTTGTTTTGTGCTGACAAACGACGGAGAATGTGAATATGAATATGAACCTGTTGCATTATATTTTAATTTTATCCCAACACAAATATTTATTACATTTCCGTACGTTTATTTACCGGACAAATGGTATTAAAAAAATTGAGAAATGTATTATTTTAAAAAGAGTAAGGGTTCGTTTACTCAAATGCTTACTCGGTAAGCGTTTATTGATATGAATCAACACTATCATTTATTTTGATGCGTAAGAATTTAATACATCAAAACATATCGAATGCAACAATTTATTGGGTAAGAGTCACCATCATCACTTACTGGGTAAGAATATCTATTCCTTCTCATCGATCTTACCCGGTAAGACTATTGGCCTTTCTCATATTCATCCGATGAGAAAATTTATCCGGTAAGCACTTACCAAGTAAGTGTTTAGTAAACGGCCATGAATTACATTGTTAGCCCCGGTCGTTTATTCAGAATATGGATATGATCCATCTTTTAAAATTAGTATTAGTTGTGTATCCACGTAATGCAACGGGATGTAAAATTTTAAAAAGATATAAGCATGAAATGAAACAATCCAATGATCTATTTGAAAATAAAAAGTACAAGTAACAAGAAGATAGCTTTTGCGCACAACAATCACATTCTCAAAATACCAATCATTGTAAATTTATACATTATAATAGGAAGAAAAAAAAAAGAACGGGGTTCAACTGTTATTCTACAGACTTGGAGCTATCAGATGATCCCTAATATAAAATAGGTTGTCTGCACAAATAAATGATTTAAGTGTTTACGCAGGGATATTAACCATGCAAAGTGAATTCTCAAGTAGTCGCGTATCTACTACCTCCAGGACTGTTGGCTGCCTCCATCACAACTTTTTATGTCCTATATCAGATATTTGATGTTCTCAAGTTGAAAATCTATATCAGAAACATTGAATCCAAGCACATCACTTCCTTTCCTTTGCTTGAGAAAATCTTGAACAGTCTGAATATAGAATGATAGAATGTAAGACTTCTGTTGGTAATAATCAACAGCGAAGGTTCTATTTTTTCTCTACAGAGTATCCTACAGTTTGATGAACATTAACTGTAGCGATGATGCGATCTTTTTACATTATTACATCATATTAAACATGTTTATTTATGTTGAAAGTAATTTATATTAAAAATATGTGCAGTTTTTTATATAATTTGTTCAGTTTTTTTTACAAAGTTTGTGCAGTTTTTTTATCTAAAATTTATGTAGTTTTTTGTTAAAAATATGTGCAATTTTTTACGAGTTTCTGTAGTTTTTTAACGCTCAATTATTCACATGTACCGTACGAGGTTGAGGATGCGATGGGTATGCAAGAAGTTGAAATGAGATTCAAAATTTGAGATAAAATGATTCGTATTTTTTTCAAATTGTGTGTTTAATTGGATTCGAATATGTAATCGTTAAATTTTGAACACTTACAATTATAATATGTAGTCATTAAACTTTCAACATTTACTATTAGTCTATAATGGTTTGTAATCGTTAAACAATATTTGTAACCATTTAACCGTATAATTTGTATTCTTGTTTATTTATTTAGTGTTTTGTCAATGTTTTATTTTTTATTTCTAAAAAACAAAATTTTAATATTTTAGAAAGCGAGTACCCGGAATCGGTTCCCGGCGGTTTCGGTTCCAAAAATTCAAGAACCGCTCTAACCGGTTCCGGTTCCAATATCTCAAGAACTACCGGTTTCGGTTCCTGTCAAATAAGACGGGTACCCGCTTATGCTCACCCCTACTTTCCACTAACTATGCTAACTCTAGTCCATTTAACTCAAGGGGTATTTTTGTCAATTCATTCGTTAATTAAAAACTCTTTTCAAACAACCATTTAAATAATGCCAAGTGTCCCTTTATATCAAAAACTAAAAAAAAATTATATGTTGTTTATTATATATATATATATATATATATATATATATATATATATATATATATATATATATATGGTTGGGTTCACGTGAGACCAAAAGTTTTTCATGAGACCCGTAAGACCAATTTATGTTCATTGATCAACTTTATAAGCTAATGATCTAATGGTCTAAAGTTGCATGGTGACAATTTTGTGATTATTGAGAAGTCTTGTGGCAATTTTGTGATTATGAATGTTTAGATTGTAAATCTAATCGAATAGTTAAGAATTGATTTTACGGATCTCATGAAAATTTTTTGATCTCGCATGATCCAAGTCTATCTCTCTATATATATTAAATAATATATTATATATTATATATTATTTATGTAAAAGAATTAGTGTACAAGTTGATAAAGCATTAGGCATAAGTGGACAACATTCAATAAAATTTAAATAAACCTAAACATTCAATGACAAACCCAAAATGACATCAATGAAGCTGAATTTGGTGTTAATGGTTGCCATTGCAATCTTATATATTTAGGGGCAGTTTTTACCAAACACTTGTTTGCGGTAAGAGTCACCACCTTCAATCAGGTAACGTTCTCGGCTACTAAAATGGAATGTTGGTGAACATATTTTACCTGGTAAGCGCTTATCAGGTAAAATTGTCGGTCTTTGTCATGCATCTTACTGGATAAAATTTTAATTTTAAACCTTGTCATACTCATCCAGTAAGGTAAGTGACACCAGGAAAACAACAGTAATAATGATGCTTATTTTTGGTCTACTATATTCAAAGCATATAAGGTGTTTGATAAAATGTTTGAAGGAAATGTGGTTTTTTTTTCTTGTAACCATTAAATTACATTTGAGTTATGCCAATGAAATAGTAATTTAATGATTCGTTGTTATCGTTAGGTTAATCAATTTCAATGTTTATTGATCAATTTCATCGTCAAACTCTAAGAGAAACTTAATAAAACCAAACAGTTAGGGGTAACATAGTCATTTTTATCTTTTAGATGTTTTATTTAGCACAACAAACAAACAACAATTTAGTTTTATCTGTACAGACAAATTAAGTCGAGACAAACAAATTAATCTGTACATGGCTTAATAAAAAACATCAACCAAACAGCCCCTAATCTCAAGATTCCTCCGTCTTCATGTCATTTTTCAAGATGGGTTTCGATATTAGGCCGATAAAAGATATCAATTCTAACTTTTCTCTTGTGTGAAACTAGTGATGGCCAAACCGGGACCGGCCAAGGACCGCTTGGTCTGGGACCGGTGAGGACCAATTATGGGACCTCCAGTTACGACCGGTTATGGTTTTTGTCGGATTTGTGGGACCAGGACTGGTTATGGCCCGGCCCGGCCCGACTCGATTTATTCAAAAAAATATAACTGTTTTTTTTTTAAACATAGCCGTTAACTAGCCGTTTTTGACCGTTTTTTCTTTTTTGTATTTTTTGGTTTCTAAACACTATAAATATGTAACAACGTTGGGAGATTTACATACCAAGTTCTCAATTCACAAAAAAACGTTCACAATTCTCGGTTTCTCGCTATATTTTGTGAATTTGACCCGTATTCATTTCTCGTTTTCACTTCACAATTCACATTTCTTTCTCTCTTTGTCTTACAAAATGGCCGGTGAACAACATGATGCATCAAACGAACAAGTTGCCCAAGTTCTCACCGAACACGGACGAAATAATTTTATAATAAATTTTTGTAAGACAATGTAATTTTAATTTTAATTTTAATAAAACGTATTTTTAAAGTGTATTTGAGTGACTCGTATAACAAAATTTACAATGTATTAAAAATATACATCATTAAAAAATTTAAAAATAATAATTTTTAATGCCGGGACCGACGGCTCATAACCGGTTGTGATGACGAACAAAACTGAACAGCAAACAAGATTATTCCTTCAAGTTCTCGACTTTAGATTCGAGATGCTTTGCGCAGCATCACACACGAGTATATAACTAGTATATATAAAAGGGGTCATTCAAATCAGAATTTGGTATTTTGTGAGATATATGAGGTCCAATCTTAGCCTTTCATCGTTAGCGATCAATGGTTCACATTAATAATGTTAATTACGGTAATTAGCTATCAATTTCCAAAAAAAATTAAACTTGTTGATGATATTTAGAAGTAAAGTAGTCTTTGTATATCTCTACTCGTTCCTTCCTCCGGCGAACTTTACTCGTTTCGAACTTTACCGCTTTATATACACCACCACTGTAATACACTCAAGAAACTCTATGAACACTTTAAAACGTTACCACTATGATCCAACATGCAATGTGATACATTACCACTTTAATACACTCGAGAGTCAAGAAACCGTGATACATGCTATGATACATTACCGGTAGATAGATCTCCACGTTGGTGCCCTTCGGAATATCTTAGCCAACGAGTTTTACGTATTGGTTCGAGGACTGGATGTGGCATTGTGGGATCCGATCCACGTTTTTTAATCGTTGAATGACATTGTTCAATAAACATAACTAACGTCACGATCCGCTACTCCATTACTTCCATTGCTCTTTTTAGTTGTTTCGAGAATAAAAGATGACGTATAATTGTCTAATCTTATGGGCCGTTTACCAAACGCTTACTCGGGGTAAGTGAACACCAAGTCACATTATCTTAGTGGATGAATATGGTAAGAATCAAGAATCTTACCTGGTAAGAGTGAAACAAGGACCAAGAGTCTTACCTGGTAAGTGAGGACGACGACTCTTACCACGGTAAGCGCTTACCGGGTAAATTGTTGTATATGATGCCGTTTTGGTGGACTAAAATCTTATCCCAAATAATTTTCATTATGCATCCCAGTAAAATCTCTTGAAAGCTTGTTTGTGATTGTATATCGACTAGTGATAGCTTCTAATTGTTACTTACACAATGTGCATCGTAATATCACATCAACGACCTAAATTGCCAAAAAGTCAACTATGGTCAAATCTGATCCAATCTAAAGTCAAACTCCAACTCCAATTCTCCTACTTTTTCT